CCCCCCCCCCCCCCCCCCCAATTCATTTATTCATTCATTTAAAATACAACAAATTCATCAGAAAGAAGAAAAAAAATTATTATCAGCCCCTTATTTAAAAAATACAAAATAACTACAAACAATCTTCACTGAACAATCACCAAACTGAAAAAAAAAAAAAAAAAAATCAGTCATCCTTCACCTGGCACCATACCTTCCCCAACAACTAACTTCATCATCTTTTTAAACATATAAATTGTTTTAGAATTTTTATGGCGATATCAAGACGATTCCATAATCCTGTTCCCTGAATTATAACACAGCTCCTTCAGACTAGTTCTAAATGGAGGTTTTACAAACATTTCCATTCCATTAAGTTATAATGACTCTCCAAAAAAGTTCAATCCGGTCCTCTGGACATTCAAAAAAACAAAACAAAGCAAAAAAATGTAAAAACGTTTTGTCTCTCATTAGAGAGACTTCCTCAGTCTGAGGAGCTGTATTCAGCTCAGTCTCTTAAATAGCACCTTCTCAGAGTGGATCAACCAGTTTGACAACCAAAAGCAGCTGCTCACATGATCAAGAAGGACGGACCATCAGCCTAACAATGGATCATTAGCATACTGATGACCGAGGTCTACACTCATCTCCAGGCCAGCGGTCACTCTTTCAGGGATGAAGATGTGCACATCCTGGACAGAGAGGAACGATGGTTTGAGAGAGGAGTAAAGGAGGCCATCTTTGTGAAAAGAAATCGTCCATCGTTAAACAGGGGTGGAGGCCTCCATGTTCAACTGTCCCCCTCTTACAATGCTGTGATTGCTAGTATCACTCAACCCCCTGTGAATAGTAAACAGCCATCAGTGTGCTAATGATCCATTGTTGGACTGATGGTCCTTCTTGATCATGTGAGCAGCTGCTTTTGGTTGTCAGCAGCAAACTGGTTGATCCACTCTGAGAAGGTGCTATTTAAGAGACTGAGCTGAATACAGCACCTCAGACTGAGGAAGTCTTTCGGATGAAAGACGAAACCTTTCTATATTTTTTTTTTGCTTTGTTTTGTTTTTTTTGAATGTCCAGAGGACCAGATTGAACTTTTTTGGATTTTTCTACCTGGATTATTGAGCATGCATCAGGATATAATGACTCTCTTTTTAAACAAATTTTAATTGAATATTTGGGGGCAATATATTTTTTATGAGCTTTATACATGACTTGTAAAATACTATATAATAATATACCAAATCATAAAATTTTAATAATTTCAACTGATGAAATAATGTATTTGTTGGGTGACCATAACACTTCCTAATATCAATCAATCAACCTTTATTTAGACAGGTAAATCCCATTGAGCCTCGAGGATTCATTTACAAGAGAGACCTGATTTCTAATAATAATAATTCTTATAGCTTTTTTGTAAAATAAAAATGGGATTTATAATTGTTTTGCATGTTTTCCCCAAACTTCAATGCGATAATTAAATATGGAATGATCATTACATTATACAATATCTACAAAGCTTTTTCATATAAAAACTCTTGTTACTTTAAACAGTAATGCAATTGAGCTATTTTTATTCTTAAGTAATTTACATGGGATTTCCATGTCAGCTTCTAATCAATAACAACACCCAACAATTTTATTTCATTAACTATGAATTTTAATACTGTCAATTTTAAAGTTGTTGTTTAAAGTTAAAACTATTAATATTGACAAAGTTGAGAGTTTCAAATTTATTTGACGGTGATTAAAATTTTTTTGAAGGCTAAATACAAATAAAAAGTGAACATTAATTTATTTGTACGTTTTTTTTAGGCTTTTATATCGTTTATATCGTTAGACCGAAATTAAGAAATTGTGATAAAAGTTTTGGCCATATTGTCCAGCCCTACGATAAACTAATAATGTCTCTAATCAAAAGTTTGTCCAGGCTGCAGACACACATCTGTTCCATCACCAGCTCAACACAAACTGTCCCTTCAGCTGCTCCAGACATCTCGCTCTAGAGACGGAACGGCTCAGGTAAAAATCTGAACACTTTGGGTCGCCTGTCTCCGTTTGGCTCGTGTGACTTTAAGCAGTAACTTGAGCCCTACGATGTCCTTGTGAGGAAAATGGACAGAAAACAGAACCAAGGACTTCATGACTAGTTTGGAAAACTTAACTGACCCGAGCACAGACGCCGTTTGTGATGCAGCGGTTCTGCTGGACTCACCTCTCCCAACAGGTCGCTGTAGAAGATCTTGAAAACCTCGTAGAAGCCGAACTTGCAGAGCCCCTGCATGGAATAACCAAAAAAGGTGGGGGCCCAGCCCTTCGCCAGACCTCGGACTCCATCTTCTCTCACAGTCACTGCAAAGCCGTTCCCAATGCTCTTATATTTATCTGGATTCACCTGAGAGAGAGAGAGAGGCTCAACGGTGAACATGGGTTAATAAATCAGGAGCTCCTTCTGCGGGAGCCAACATCTGCAGGCTCCGCTTTTTAAAAAATTAAAACAAGTGAAGAGTTTTTCTGAGCTGCGTTTGATCCAACGGATCTGTCAGAACATTAAAGACGTGCACTGGTTTTAACTCGGCCTTAAACTCTGAAGAACAGCACTACATGCTGCAGGGTTAAAAATATATAGAATCTGTAGATCAAAATATTTATTATGAACAAATATCTGCACTAGCTTTGATAATTGGTGGTTTTAAAACTGTAAAACTGGTGTTTGCTTCTTCAACCATCAGGTACTGGGCTGATTTTCTTCTTCAGGTTATTGTTCATAGTCTTCTTCCACCCTGCTTTTTCCTAACTTGATCTTCATGTAGGATCTAATATGTTGGGATGAACGTTTTAAAAGAATCTGTTGTAATGTCTGCCTTATGCATGAAAACACTTCAGTTCTGTTTCCACTTAACCAGGAACAAAAGCTGAAACTGGTGCTTCCTTTCTCTGTACGGATGAAACTTCAGCCAATTTAATGTTCAACCTGGTAGGAACACCAGAAATGAGTGCATCTCAAGAACTGACCTTCAAACTCAGTGTTGTGTGAAGTTCTGACCTAGCACAGCTTTCTGCTCACATTACAGGTTCAGCTAAAGGTTCTGGTTCCATACAAACCTGTAGACGGCACTTGACCAGGTCGAGCGGTACCACTGCAGTGTGTGTGATGCCGCAGCTCAGGATACCACCAAAACCGCAAAGAGCATAGTACTTTGAGGAGCCAAACTCGCAGCTGACATCCTCTGTGGTAGAAGGGGGAGGGGACAACACACATGCAACATGCAGGGTCACGTGCAGCACAGGACACATGTGATTGAAACAGAGCAACATGATGGGGGAGGCAGGATTCAGCCCCCATCAGGAGCTCCGGCACCAACATTCATTATGAAATCATTAACAGGATGGTGAAACATCTGGGAGCTCAGTGGTGTTCTGCTGCTCAATCAGGTCCAGGTTTCAGTTCTCACCAGTCAGTACAACTGCTGGGAGTCTAAAGAAATCTACGGTGCAAATGACCAGGGCAATTCTGTGTAACAGAAGCAGAACATCAGTGAGGTCCAACACAATGATTATGAAATTAACTGCACAGTTCTTCATGTAGATTACAATAAAACGCACAGATTTGTCCGAATTGGGCTTCAGCTTCTGAACTGGACTGTTTGGGATTGGATTCATCAGCTCTGTTGTGGAGGATGAAGATGGTAGCAGCATCAGTCTGCTGGTGTCAAACTAATCCTCCCATCAGGTCCAATTCTGCTGACCTTCAGCTCCATGAGTCCTCTGTTCTGGACCAAATGTGAGGTCAGGGTTTGTCTGATCAAACATTAACACTGGAGGCATGCAGTCAGATTCTGATCACTACACACCCCATGAATAACAGGAATTAATCCACACCGATGGAATGGCAAAGTGAACGGGTTGGTGACCGTTCTGCCATGCGTACATGAACCAAACGACACCACACCTGACAAAACGCAACACTTAAAAGAGGAAAAACTGGCGGCGTTCAGGTAAAAATGGATGCGAACTACAAAAGACAGACCTGCAATCTGCATTTGACCAGATCGAGGGGCACCACGGCTGTGTGTGTGGTACCACAGCTTAGAATCCCACCGAACCCGCACAGGACGAAATACTTCTGAGAGCCGAACTCACAACTGTCTCCCTCTGAGGACACAAACGGAGGCTTTCAGACCAGGAGATGAGACACTTTAGGTCCTTTAATCTGGATCAGAAGATATCATCTGTGAGCTCAGGGGAAATGTGAGACCTCTGATATGAACCGAACCTTTACAGCAGCGTGTCAGAAAAACTCAAGACTGTCCACATTGATCCAGTCAGGACACAAAGTTCGGTCACAAAAAAAGTTCAAAACTTTTGGTCATTAAGGCTTCATAGAATCTTTATCCAGTATATAAAGCTCGGTAGACCCGGTCAGGTCCAGTTAGCTGTAAAGAAGAGGACATGGACCGCTGTGTCCTTCTGTGTCCTCCACAGGCGGCCTGTAGCCGTCAGGGTTAGCTGCTAACTGCTAACATTAGCTACACGTTAAATGTCAAACCTTTAAACTCTGCTGCAACAATATTAAACACAAACATTTAATAAACATGGCGAATAAATTTTGGAGTAAAGTTAGTAAGCCCAACCGGGTGACACAGTTAAATGTCCGAGCCGCCTCTTGGCGGGGTTTACCGTCTACGGTGGAGGCTGCTGCCAGTCTACGAGTCCTCTGTGCTCCATGGAGGTTCTGCTGGGGCTCTTCCGCTTTCTGGAGGGTGAACAGGGGGGCGCTGAACGGGTTGGCCCGGGCCAGGTGAGTCAGGGAGTTCGGGTACATGGTGGTGGACTACCTGCCGGCAGAACTGCGGTGAAGAGCAAGTCGTTAGCTCGTCAGCTTTAGCTAGAACGTCACGTGATAAGATACGTTCCGTACCCCTCGGAAATCAGAACACTCATCTGCAACATTGCACCCAACTTTCTTTGTTACGCGTGTAACTGATGAAACGGTATGCGCTTTGAAAGCAAATAACTTGTTTTTCAAAATCAGGGACATAGGATGAAGCTTCTGACTTTCCATGAAATGATTCTTTGTGACTTTCCAGGAAGTAACCAACTTTGTGAAGCATTCCCATTGATAAAATTCAGTCAGAACCTAGAAATTCTAACTTCCCACTTTAAATGGAACGCATCATTATGTGACGCTCTGCGCAGCTAACTGCGAACAAGACGTACTTTGATCAATATACTGCAAGAGCGCGCCGTGCTTTTACTGCAGGTACATCCCTTCCTCGCACGTAAATGAAGCCCGTCTAAATCAGATTCTCACCTTTGCTCCACTCAGCCTGATGTAAAAAAAAAAATCCGCTAGTGCGGAGCTAAGCTAACATGGACATCCTCAACAATGGATGATTCCCTGTAACTCACAGTTCCAACACAGTAAGTAGATCACAGGAGTTCCATTTCATACAGTCAGTGACGCTCGTTTTATTCTGTGTAAGGGTAATGAGGAAATAAACTCACTCTTTCAGTGCCTTAAAATGGCGCCTCCGCGTTGCTGTAGCCGGCTGCTCGAAGAGACTGAATGACCTCGTGTAAATCTATTTGTCCTTTCATGACGTCACTTAAAATATTGGGCGGGGCTGTAAGATACATTGACCAATAAGATCTCGGAACGGAGCTGTCAATCGCAGAATAGCTCCGCGACAAAGTTAAAGTGACAGTTCGAACATTTTCAAGCGCTCGTAGAAGTCCATCCATCCATCCATCTTTTACCCACTTCTTCCATTTTGGGTCACGAGGGTCACCGGTGCCCATGTCCAGCAATCACTGTGGGAGGAGCGGGGTACACCCTGGACGGATCGCAAGTCCATCACAGGGCTAGTGACTTATAACATTATTTTGTAAACAACCATCAGTTTTATATAGTTATTATAGTTGGGTTATTATAGTTATTATAGTTGGGTTATTATAGTTATTATAGATTCTGTGCTTAGTGTCGCGATCTTGTAATCCTGAGGTTGTAACTCAAAGACAGGTTGTGTCAGGAAGGGCACTTGGTGTAAAAAAACTGGTCTGCTAAATCTGTCACGAAAACTTACTTGCTGTGGCAACTCCCTCATTAAGGGAGCAGCCTAAAGATAAACAACAACACTGAAGACAGAGGTTTTTTTTTTTTTTTGGTTACCAGTAAAGATTCAGTTTATTGTCCTTCACCAAGATAAAAGCATGACAGAATGAAATTTCATGCTTAGGTCGACAGAAACCGAAAAGATTAAAAAACAAGATAATAATCCATAAATAATTCTCACGTGATGTCACACATCACACTAGCTGCCATCTTGATGACTAAGCAATAGCTTCAGTCATGGCAAAGTAAACATTTGACAATTGTGGGCTATTTAACTTTAATGGCAATGGCTGTTTCATGTTGGGTAAACAATGTTCTTATTGTGCAGACGGTTTCGCAAAAACGTTTTCTTTATATTCCAAAAATGAGGAAATATGAAGAACTTCATACAGAGCAGTTGAGGATAGAATGTCAGTGAGTCTGGCTTGCAGTGATGACAAGGATTCGGCTTTGAAATATCTAGAATCTGCTCAGAACATTTTTATTCCATCCATCCATTATCTTTACCTGTTTATTCCGTTTTGGGTCACAGGGGTCGCCGGTGCCCATGTCCAGCAATCACTGTGCGAGGGGCGGGGTACACCCTGGACGGGTCGCAAGTCCATCACAGGGCCACATACAGACAAACAAGACAAACAACCATTTACTCTCTCACTCACACCTAGGGACAATTTAGAGTTACCAATCAGCCTAACATGCATGTTTTTGGTCTGTGGGAGGAGTACCCGGAGAAAACCCACGCATGCACGGAGAGAACATGCAAACTCCACCCAGAAAGGCCCCTGGACCGGGGTTTGAACCAAGGACCTGCTCGCTGAGAGGCAGCAGCTCTACCAGTTGCGCCACCGTGCTGCCTACATTTTTATTCCATTAAGTCTTATTAAACAATGTTAGAGTATAATTGTATGTTTGCTAGACTAAGTTCACAGTGTAGAACGTCTCTACTGTACAGTGTGGATTCATTTTTCTGCACACGTTTTTTCATACTCCCGAATTAACGCAGAACACCTGACATTCCTCAGTTTAAATATAGAAAAAGATGTGGATATCTAAATCTTCTCTTTGCAGATGATGTGGTCCTGTTGGTGTCATCGTGCCGTGATCTTCAGCTCTCACTGGAGAGGTTCACAGCTGAGTGTGAAGCGGCTGGGATGAGAATCAGCACCTCCAAATCTGAGGCCATGGTCCTCAGTCAGAGGATGGATTGCTCTCTTCAGGTCGAGGGTGAGGTTCTGCCTCAAGTGGAGGAGTTCAAGTGTCTCAGGGTTTTGTTCATGAGATAGGGTGAGAAGTTCAGTTATCAAGGAGAGACTCGTAGTAGAACCGCTGCTCCTCCACGTCGAGAGGAGCTAGTTGAGGTGGTTTGGGCATCTGGTAAGGATGCTTCCTGGGCGCCTCCCTACAGGCACTGATCTTCGGGCATGTCCAACTGGGAGGAGACCACGGTGAAGACCCAGGACATGCTTGAGAGTCTATATCTCTCGGTTGGCCTAGGGACAATTTAACACCAGCCAGGTTAACACTTTGTTGTACCCTGGGCAACAATCGTCAAGGGCCCCATCATCACAACCCCAGAATCACCATAATCTGGCAAAATACAGAATAAATTACCATAATATACAGTAAATATACTTCAAATTCTATCAAGTGTATTTTGATGTATAAAACTCCAAATGCTCATTGACACAAATCATCAAGACTGAATTAAGTTGAACACACTTTGAACACCACATGACACCATGTGTACTTGTTCAGTAACGTTGACCATTGGTGTCAGAAGCATTTGTAATGTGTGTGTGTGTGTGTGTGTGTGTGGGGGGGGGGGTGTCTGGGGGGTCCTCCCCCAGAAACTTTTGAATAAAGTAGATGCTATTTCCTGCACTCTGGTGTATTTTAATGGTTTAACATCTAGTATTACCTACATAAGTAAACACTTGATTCAGTAACTATTTTAGAGCTAATGGCACAACAAGAAGTAGTCTGACCAACAGCTGATTCAATGAATTAAAAATATTATATATTCAAAGGTGATGATTTGATGCCATCCATCCATCCATCCATTATCTTTACCCGTTTATTCCATTTTGGGTCACGGGGGTCGCTGGTGCCCATGTCCAGCAATCGATTTGATGCCCACATTAAAATTAAATGACTGTAACTTGGTTGACTTCAAATGCAATAAGATAATCAATGAATGTTTGTGACAAAGGATTTACTGATTATAACAAAGATTCCTTCAAGAAACCTCCTAATATAAATCATAAAACCATAATGACTTCTGCTCATTCTAAATTTATCAAATGGCCTAAATCTACTAAAGTGAAGGAGAATCATTTTAAAATAATAAATAAGATATATCCTGTAGCCATGTTTCTTGAAATAAGATTTAAATTTTAGGTTGATTTGTGTGCCCTTTGTAAATCAGAAGATGAATCCCTCGAGCAATTTTTTTTATGTCAATACAAAGTTTTAGGTCAGACATCAGAAACTGGATTAATCTCAAACTTAACATTCCTTCTTTTCATGCTGATGACATTTTACTTTATGTGGAAAACTTAAGCTCAACTTTCTCTGATGCCATAAATATAGTCGTACTTATAGCAAAGAACCACATTCATTGTAGTAAGAGGAGAGATAATGATAATCAGCCCTCCTTCTTGTTTTATGAATGATTTTAAGCCATACTATTCTTCATTAAGTAGATTAAAAAACTGCAAAGCTGCTAGAATCATCTCACAACAGATACAAACTTATTGTTTTAATTAAAACAATGTTTTTCACATAGTCGCGCTCGTTTGTTTTTTATATACTTAATTTTTAATGTTTTTTTTTCCTCTTTCATTATTTTGTGAAATGTAGTTATGATACTTCACGAGTTTCCTTTTATATTTTGTTGTATTGTTCTGTTTTGCGTTGTTAATAACGTTCTAGAAAAAAAGTCTGAGCTTGTCAGCAGGTAAGGGGCGTTTACCTTCGGGACAAATTGAGGTTGTCGATTGGTCAGTTGCTGACACGCCTACTGGATTGATTGACAGGTCGTGCAGTCTAGGATCCAATTCAGTTAAAAAAATAAAAAAATAAAATAAAAAACATGTTCTTCAAATCTCTGGACTCATTAATTCTTTCTTTTATTTGGAATGGTAAACATCCCAGATTAAGGAAAGCCTTCCTTCAAAGACCTAAACAGTCAGGTGGAATGGCCTTGCCCAACTTTCAAAACTACTACTGGGCAGCTAACATTTGAGGACTGCTTCACTGGCAGCACTTTCATTTGGATCCTTCACATCCAGTCTGGGTGTCCATGGAGGTTCATGCTGGAGGTACTGGAACTTCTCTGTCTGCACTTTTAGGTTCACCTTTTCCTCTGACCTGTTCAGTTCCATTTGGTGGCCCAGTCGTTAAACATTCTCTTAAAATCTGGTCTCAAATCAGAAAAACACTTGGTCGCCAGGCTTTTTCACTTTTAAGTACTATTGCAGGTTTGCACTGTTTGCTCCATCAGCTGGATTTCGAGTTTGGCACGAAAAAGGAGTAAAATGTTTTGCGGATTTATATTCAGATGGATACTTTTCCAGCTTCTCGGAACTAACAAAAACGTTTGGAATTGGATCCTCAAATTGCTTCAGATTTCTGCAGGTCAGGCATTATGTGAAAAGTATGACACCACAATTTCCCCGTAAACCTCCAGATAATCCTCTCGATGCATTTCTGTCAATCAATCCCACTTCCAAAGGTGTGTTGTCTCAACTTTATAATCTCATCTTCAAATTGCATTGCCCATCTCTGACTGCTATTAAAACAGTCTGGGAACAAGACGTTCAATCCCCCCTCTCTGACCAGGTATGGGACTCTATTCTGGATCAGGTGCATTCAACTTCAATGTGTGCTCGCCATGCACTTCTACAATTTAAAGTTGTCCATCGGGTACACTTCTCTAAAGTTAAACTGGCACGCATTTACCCAAATGTGGACCCAACGTGTGACAGGTGTAGGAGTGCACCTGCTAACATTAATCCACATGTTTTGGTCTTGCCCTTCCCTGGTTAGTTTTTGGAAATCAGTCTCCTGTACTATATCTGAAGTTTTGCAATGTGAGATTGAGCCAAACCCCATCTCTGCCGTCTTTGGAGTGGCCCCAGAACTAGACATACCACGCTTCAAACAAAGAATGCTGTCATTTTTATCATTACTTGCCAGGAGAGCTATTTTATTAAGGTGGAAAGATCCATCTCCCCCTTCACATTCACACTGGATCAGGGATATTATGTTTTTTTATGGACTTAGAAAAGATAACATTTACTGTCCGAGGTTCTGAAAATAGATTTTATAAAGCTCGGCGCCCTTTCTTAACTGTTTATGAGAAATCCTCTACTATTGTCTCTGAGTAGCTCCCCTCCTCCACCCCCCTTTTTATTATTTATTTATTTATTTTATGTGGATAATATATTTTATGGTCAGGGGGATCTAAAATCACATTATA